CGATGGGCTGAATTGCACAAAACGCATGATCGCACCGACTAGTCTGGTGCGCGTTGCTATTTATTTATAGTTGCGCCTGGCCCGTGGGGACATTCTTGTAACATCATTAACATTGGATAATCATAGTAATTGTCGGGGCAGTCTTAATATTAGCTGAAATGCAGCACGCGCAAGAGACCTCGGTGCTGCTGTGCATTATTCTGTATTATTATAAACTACATAAGTGATGATTTAAGCAGCGGGGCGAGGTAAAGAGAAAAAGCTGAGTACCTTTCCATGCCTTACACCACACTGCATATATGGGCATGCGCATAATGACTAAGTTTATATGCAATACGCAGAGCCTTCCATAAATTATCACAAATTTGTATTTCTGTATCTTTATCGTGTACGACCAAAGGAAATGCTTCCAAAATTTCTTCTAGAATCCCAATCAGACATAACAGTAGGAAGGAGTGGACCAAATTGTTCAGTGATATGACTGTGGTTGGAAAGAACATGCAAAACAGTATAAGCAAGACCCCGTGCTTTGAAAGCAGACGGAGTATAAAGTTAATCTTTCATTTCCGAATACGCACATGTTCAGAGACAACAAAATTCCAGCACGAATAGATTGTAGATGCAGTGGCAAGACAAAGGAGACGCATTACTAATTATTGTTATTTTCAGCTTTAAAGTTTCTTGCTTAGCCCTTCTAAAACCACAGAAGTCACAAATTCGTAAGTTCGACTCAAATTTTACACATCTTTCCTCTCTATCACTCCCTTCATATACACGTTATTTTAACGCTATTTAAATCAGTAAATAATGAGTGAAATACAGTAAGTGGAATAAAGTAAGTGGAATACATATCAGCATCCTAGTAGTGAAATATACATCAATAACCGGGCCAAACTGTTTTACTACTCTGCCAATCTTGCGACTGTTTTCGTATTTTCTTCCGTTACAAACAGTCACTGCTTTGTGCGTCGATTTGTACCAAATTTGTAGCAGTGCGTCGATTTGTACCAATGCGTCGGAAAGGATTTTTGCATAAGTCATAAAAATATTTTTTGCAAAATTGCATCTGTGTATAAGTGCTTAGAAGTTTGACGCAGCGAGCTAAGTTCTTGATTACGAAAACTGGTGAGACCGAGCTCTGGTACTCCCTGCTCGACCACATTACTTACTTGAATACTTGAACAACTGTGGCGCGCCTACCTCTTCTTGTTGGTGTATATTGCTTCGATGATATCCTTTACACATGATCTGATTCAGAGCACTTCATTAGGAATGTGCTGCAGTCTGTTGACGCTAACCATTCGTTTTTTCATTGCTTGTTGGGACACTTCTAATTTTCTTTCTTCAGCAAACGCAGTATTCCATGTTTCACATCCGTATAACATAGCTGGTAATACGATCGAATTAAAAATTGCTGCTTTTGCAGGTAAGGTAGTTTTTTTGTCGCAAAATATATCGCGGAGCTTGGCGAAAGTATCCACTCTGGTCTTATCCATCTCGTTATTTCGATGTCCAAGTCACTATTCATTTGCACTGCTTGTCCCAAGTAGGTGTACCTGTCTACAAGTCCGATGGAGTTGTAGAGTTTCATGTCGAACTGAGGACAGTAGGTTTTGGTTTTGTCGATGTTAACCGTGAGCCCGACTTTGTTTATCTTCGCTACCAGCTCATTTAACAGATTCTGCAACAACTGGGGGTTTTCTGCGACAAGGACTACACCTTCCGCAAAGAGCAGCATTCGCAATTTTGCACCATCGATATTGATTCCATCTGCTGCATCCACACTCCCGAAAACGCCTTCTAGCGCGCTGTTAAAAGCTTTCGGGGAGCAAATGTCGCTCTCTTTCACACTTCGTTTAACTTCTGTTAATATAAGATCATTGTTGAAGGTGAATTCCGTATGCGACCCTGTCATGGAGTCTTTAATAACAGCAAAGTATGCAGAATCGGCTCCTTACTTCGTGAAAGCATTAAGCACAGCCTTGTGTTCAAATGAGCTGAACGGTCTCCTGAAGTCGATGAAAAGCAAGCATAATGGAACATTGTACTTTCGGCACCGCTCTATCAGCTGTGTTAACGCGAACATGTGATCAGTTGTGGAGGACCGTTTCCAAATTCTGCTTGCCCTCCTTGAATTTTCATCAAGAATTTTTTCGATTCGAAAACACATTATCTGCATGAAGATCTTATACGTGTGGGAAAGCAAGCATAGTGAACGGTAATTGGCAATGCTCTTCAGGTCTCCTTTCCTTAGCAGCAGTATGGTCTTGGATCCCTTTTACTTTACTCTGCCGGTATCATACATGTTTCTAGATACCAGGGTAAATCGTGCTAAGTGCTTTTTTTTTTATCGTTTCGCCTTCGGATTTTAGTTCTTCAACACGGACTGAGTCCAAACCTGCTGCCTTGTTCAACTTCATGGAGCGAATCGCGGTTTCGACCTCACTAGGAGTAACAACGGGTACAAAGGAGGTTCTTGAAATATTGGGACTCTGGACATTTACGAGCAACGAAAATAGATATTTATAAAAATTTTTAAAAATGGTTTCCATGCGCCTCCAATTTGTCGTTCACTGTCCATCTTTGCGTGGATTTTTTGACTCAGCTGCACTTCTCTCCACGCTCCTTTCAAGCTCGTTCCCTGCTCTACCGCTTTTCTCATCTTCCCCTATCAGTAACTGTCGCAATCTTCTGTCATTCGTCTTCTTAACACTTTGCACAGAAATTCATATTCCAGAACGACATCATCTTTCGACGTCATCCCTCGTCTTTTTTGAAGATCAAGTGTTTCATGACTTGGTTTCTGATACGCTTGACGACATTTACCCCAGCAGCAGTTTTACATTCATTGAGCTTGCCGAGAAGGATGTTGTAATCTACACCTATACTATATTTGACGATTTCCCAGCTTTCACATCCAACAGCTTGTAAGAAGAGTTCTTTGAAAGCTGTTTCGGCCTTCTGCTGTGGATATTTCTCTCTGAATCATTCTTTCCTAGTTGAAGTCGATTGTGATGGCGGCTCTCACGAGGCCGTGATCAGAATGGTCCGAAACTGCTGATTCTGGTATGACAGATACATTTGTAACCACTCGCCGTTTGTCAGTGAGGATGTAATCAATTTCAGTTTTATACGCGTCGTTCGGTGCACGTCATGTTCAACGTTTGCCCGAACGTTTTTGGAAGAAGAAATTCGTTACACAGAGATCAACTTTTTGCAAAGTTACCAAGTCTCTGGCCTCTGTCGTTCTTTGCTCCTAGACCGAAACGTCCGATGTATACTTCTGAACCTCCTCCTTTGCCGAGTCTGGTGCTGAAGTCTCCAAAGACAATTGCGTATGTAGTCTGACGTCGCAACGTGACCTCGAGCCCTTTGCAGAAAAATTCAACGTTTTCGTCCTCCGTCCGCTGCTGAAGTGGGCGCATAGACGGTAATGAGCTTCATCGTGGCTTTTTCGTTAATTCGCACAGTAAACACTCCAATGCGTAAGAACATGATCTCGCATGTGAGGATTCGACTTGTTGCCACTGGCTTCACAGTGGATCTAACACCACCCACTCCTCTGTCAAATGCTCCCAGCACGACCTGACTGTTCCCCGGATTTCCCTGTTTGACGCGACGCTTCGCCTGGTTTCATTGAGGGCAAGAATTTCGGTGCGGGTACTGCGGAATTCGTACAACCTCCTCACTGATTAGCGTTCTAGCGTTAAACGTGCTCAAGCGCACAAGACTACTGGGTGACAGTTTCATTACTGTGAAATTCTTAGCTCCCTCTGTCCCCTCGTCAATTCTTCCACCACCGCCACTGCAAAGCGACAGAAAACTACTCAGGACCGAGGGCTATTTTTTTTCAACTTTTCTTTCATAGTTGCTTTGACCGAGGCTGCATCGCCTGGTGGTCAAGCTTCTAGCGATCCAGGCGTTCTTCGTCCCCTTCTCAAACTGAGGTAATGTAACCAGTAAATATTATGGACGAAAGGTGTTTGTATTGACTAAGGCTGTGGTCAACCTCCTGGCAGTCCTGGCCTTCTTTTCGTCCCGTGAAGGGATTGCCGGCTCAATGACCCACCTAACTGAGGCACTCTGGCAAGGACTTAGCTGCTTGGAGCTTCATCGGTGTGTGCTGAGCATCATCACCTCGTCTCTGAACGTTGCCACTCCCAGACCACGATGGGGTACCTTGCCGTCTGCTCGACCATATACGGATTCAAAAACGTCAGATCAACTTTCACGCCCTCTAGCATTCTGATGCAACAGACGTCAATGATTATAAGTATGTTATCCCATATTTTCACGTGTGATAAGGCTGCATATTCATAGCACCGTAGCAAAGTAAAAATAACTCTGGTATTATTTTATTGCACGCATTCAATGCATGCGAATAGCATAACTATGCTACCGCCCAATACGGCCAATTATCTTGAGTCATGTAAAACCGTTTAAAAACTAAACACTTAGAAAAAATCGCTAACAGGAGCGGCTGCTTACGCTATTCACTCATTTAAGTAAATAACAGAATTCTTAAAAGCACTACCTCAACCAAGCAGTACGGTGACGTTACAACACGTACAATATGATCCATGGAAAGTTGCGAGGCGCACTTCAGTTCCGTTGTGCTATTTCTACCACGCGTGCACAAGGCGAGAAGTCTGGAAACATATGTTTTATTATTATGCACTATCGATTCATCACTCTACTACCGTCTGCCCACTTGCTTGTTTTGCCACGTCAAATTATTTACAGCAAAACAAACATTAACGGTCACCAAATGCCCCGTGCATATCCACTTTTTGGCCTAAGTGAACCTGATAATTGAGAAGCCAGTTGTAGAATAAATTCAGAAATATCCATACTGTGCTCATATGCAAGGTAGAAATTGAGCTACCTCGTTTATTTCGTCTTTTTTTTTCTAATTTGTTTTTGCCAGCTCTAATTACAGTTTCGATGCTCTTTAATATCGGCTCAGTTTTTTTCTCTTCTTTGCTCGCTCTTTATTACTGTTTCTTCAGTATGCAAACTCTTTCATTCACCATTCCGACAATTAGTGTTACACAATTTAGGTGACTTTCGGTGTCAGTTCAATTTCATTTGTCGAACAAAAAGTAACGGCATACAAAAGATGCTAAAATAATGCACAGAAACTGATCTAGAAATTATTCAGGCTGCCCTGTTTCTCAGGTGCCTGAACATCCTGAAAAGCGCCTAGCACTTAGAACTTCAAAATAGAAGAATCTTAATGTACATTTTCCCTTCTTATTCAATGATAACTTTCCATTTGACTCCATTCTTCTTAACAGCTACTCATTAAAAAAATATTATTGTTGCAGTTACTCAGCAAAAGAGAACATGAAATGATGAACGCACCGTACCAACTCAATGTGGTAACGCAATGAGTGATCAGCATTGAGCTCTTCCGGACGCGTGTCCTGCATCAGTTTTACCAACTGCTCAAAGCTAGCACTATCAGCGTAGAAAACTCGCACATCATCGGAAGCGGAACAAATCTAAAATAATGACTCACTTGCTTCAACAATGTTTCAACCCTAAAAACGCTAAAAGTGCGTATCTATCCAGGATGCCAAGAAAGAAACGAGCCAGTACGAAAATAAAACGTGTAGCGTACATGCTGCAGAGTGAAAGATTAAAAAAAAAGAAAAAATTCTAGCATTAAAAAAACAAACTCGAAACCTCTTGGGCAGTTTTCTCCTGGGTCGATTCAATTTCTTTTTCGTGAACTATAACAATGCTCTGCAAAAACTCGATAAACACGGCACTTCGGGCTTTGTGTTCAATCATATTGACAATATGCGCAATCAACTCTTCAGTGACATTCTGACATAACTCGCGATTATCCTTGAAAATCGCAATCATCGTTGCAACTTCTTCTGTCTGCAAAATTTGGCCATCAGGAAAACTCGACTCGATTCGGTCAGCGTCATACACCAATAACAGAAATTTTTTCTTAATGATGAAGGGGAGGGCTATCTCACGATGAGTGGCGGGAGTTTGAATGTGGCAGGTGTAAAGGGAGGGTGGTACGCTGCGAGTTTCGTTCGAGGCAGGGGAGAGAGGCTGGGATAGATGGATTTGATGGTTACATGGCACAGATCCTTTGTTGGTCAGCCATATCACTTAAATTTGGATAGGATGGAGAAGGGGAGAAGTGATAGGGTGGAAAGGAGGAGGAAGTGCGCTGCTGGCTTTTGCTGCGGATATCTAGGGCAAGGAAAATGATGAAATATTACTTGCTTCCAGAGTTTTTTTCTAGTAGGATGGAGAGAAGCTCAGATGTTGCTTTGCAGGCACGATTCAGAAACAGGATGGAGAAGATGGGCGAGAATGCAAGTCAAGAGTTTGATGCAGGAACTGGAAATAGCAGTAAAGGAAAAGAGACAACAAAACACAACAAAGAGAAGTAAATTAAAGCAAATGCGAGTCTATGAATTAAAGCAACCCTAGGCTGGGACGCACCAAGCCTACCAGAGCGATCATGCGTTTTGCATCAATTAGATCATTAACTGTATCAGTGGTCGCTGTTTTACATCTACCATGTGTGCTCACTAGCGTAAATAATCGTAATTTTGCGTTAAGAAAGGTGAACAATTTCTGTCGAACACAGTTCTTTGAAAATGAACTGTTAAGTGAGCAGTTTTCCTGTGAAAGTTTTTAAGTGCTCGTGTGTGGAAACCACGCTTACTTGGGTACTGAATCTGAATCCTGAAGTTGTAGTTAAACGGGAATTATGTCGGACCGTTTGATCCTCAGCCGCATAACCCAGTCGGTACCAACCGCCTGTCCGATGTATTACTTTCTAGAGGGCACCGCTCGTTAGTGCGCACGAGGCGATTACTAAAACTCGGCTCGGCTCGGCTTGCCCTCGGCTGCCTCGGCCGGACCTCGGCCGCCTCGGCCACACCTCGGC